TCTCTCACACACACACACACACACACACGCACACACACACACACACACACACACACACAGACACACACACACAAAGGGGGTCCGAAAGGGGGTCCGAAATCCCCCGACAGGTGAGTGCGCTGGGGGGGCCCGGCCCCCAACCGGGTGCCCTGCCCGGCCAGGCCGCCCGGGACCTCCCCCGGGCCTCTGCCGGTCACTCGGGCGGCCCGGATCCCCACTCAGATTAATAGATTGTAGAAGTCTGTTCAGGGCTTTTGGCAGTTGGTACCATGTACATCGCGGCTGTGCAACGCGTGAACTGGTGGTGGTACAGCTTCAGCATTGGAGGAGACAGACATAGCCAGCCCCTCGAAGCGGCGACCATAGCTGTGACCTTCGCTGTTCTCTGACAGCACACAAAGCTGTTCAGAGGTCTGGGCTATCTGAGGTCACCTGGGAGCAGGAGAAGTTGGTTCCCTGCTGAACCCTCCTCAGGAGTAGGGTGTCAGGGTAGTGGTGCTGCAGCCATAGCTGCAGCTTGCATCCTCAGAGATCATCTTTGTCAGGAGAGGTGGCGCTGCTGCAGATCTTCACCTGGGAGGTCTTCTGGCACTTCATCTTCCTCAGAGACTGTGGCGCTGGTCATCTTCTTCATCCTCTGAGAGGCGCTTGGCCTCAGAGGCCTGTTTCAGGGTGGCGCTTCCCTCTAGAGGCAGTATCTGGGTGGCGCTGGTTGTTTCAGGGACTCAGGGGTAGTTGATAGCAGTTCTTCAGGGTTGGGGGAGAAGCGCTGCTCATTTCTGAGCAGCACACCATGGTTCTGGGGCTATTCTGGCAAAACGATGTTCCGAGTTTAACAAACAGTGTTGATACTGTGTGTGAACTATCTTTGCTTCATTGTTTTCTGGATGTGATCTACTCGGCTTTCCTTTGTGACTGGTTGTGAGGATTTTGTGGAGCGAATTGCACTCTCAGTGTAATCTTCCACTGCGTTTCTCTCCCCTGTGCGGTGTGATACTCCCATCCTCTCCCCTTCCTTCTGTATATGTATGGGCATACCTAGGAGTCTATGTGAGCGAGTGTTGGTCGTCTGACACAAAGCAACCAGGTTCCTAACACATGTCTGCAAGCGAGAGTTCTTGTGTCCATGCATGTGTGCACTTGTGCTCACGGATCTCTCTTACTAACTAGTTGCATTCGCCCTTTTCTCGATCTTTCACGCCTGCATGCGTCTGCCCGTATCTCTCGCTCACACTCATATATGTGTGTGCCCGTCTGTATCTCTTTCTCTCTCACACACACAAACTACTAACAATCGTCTCTCTCTCTCTTTCACACGCACAAACACACTTAAGTACTATCATGTGAGTGTGTCCCTCTCATGTGGACGTGTGTGCATGTGTGTGCAAGGGTGTGGGTGTGTGCGAGCCTGCGCATGCCTGTGTGTGGATTCATGCGTATGCGTGTTGTAAATTGTCACCACAACAACCTCTTTTCCACTGAGATGAGAATATCTAAATTGAAACAGCTTATATATGTGCGTGTGTGTGTGTGTGTGTGTGTGTGTGTGTGTGTGTGTGTGTGTGTGTGTGTGTGTGTGTGTGTGTGTGTGTGCGAACGTGCAAGCCTGCACATCTATGTGTGTGTGTGTGTGAGTGTGTGCGTATGTGCATGCTAGCATGCGTGTGTATGTTCTTGCGGGCATTAAGTGGGAACATGCATGGAATAGGTGTGGCCACCAACCAGACAGACACCCTGAAAAGGTACCTCCGCGAACAGGCACAGTTTGTATAAGGACTGATACAGAA